AGGGAGATAAGGATTTATTTTAAACAGTATAGATTATCACATTCTACTATAGTATATCTTGAGACTCTATAGATTTCACACCAATCTGTTACTCTTTTTCAATTTCAAGCAGTAAACTGGAAAAACAAAAACCATAAGGAGAATAATAATAATTAACATTTGCTACAATACAATTTTGTGGTGCTGCAAACAACCACCAAACCTCAGTGGCATATAAAAATAAGTGTTTATTGCTAATACTCTGAGGTGGTTGGTTATCTAGACAGCTTGCTGATCTTGCCTGGGTTCATCCAGATGTCTTAACATCAGCTGCCTTTAGTTGATCTGAGATGGCCTTGGCTGAGACCTTAGGGGCAGCTTGGCTCTTCCATGGGACTCCTCCTGGGAGCATTCCACTATTGTAGGTTTGTCCTTCCCATGGTGATGGTGGAGGCAAGGACCACAAATAAAAACATGCACACTGATTTTTTTCAAACCTCTGATTGTGTGATGTCTACTACATCCCACTGGCCAAAACAAATCACAAGGCCTAGCCCAGAGTCACTGCGAGGGTTTCACAAAGATAAAATACATGGGTGTGGGTGAAAAATAATTAGAAAGGTATTTGACCACAATGTCTAATTAAATGACAGTTGCAATTATTTTATATATATATATATATACGTGTGTGTGTATATATATATCTCTCCTAATTTTAAAGATAATATATCCACTAGAATATTCTTTAGACTTTTTGAAACCTAACACATCTGAATCAGATTACTATATTCTTCCAAACATCGCATGGATTCCTCCATCAGTATTTCCCTTCATGGGGTTGACATCACTGTCCATTCAGACCACAGGCCGGAAACCAGGGAATGCTTTCCATTCCTAATTATCACTTCGTAGCAGTTGTAAGATATGGCGGTCTTACGTTTACTTCCTGTATATTTCCCAGAACACTCCAGTTTTTTAATATCTACTAATGCTACCCAAGCTTAAGGATGTCTTATATTTTTAGCAAGCTACTAATCCAATATCTCAAGTGGTATTTATATCTTCAATTTTTGTATTTGTAAAAGCGCAAATACCAGAGCAATCCATCTAAACAAGCCACTTTGCATACCACTCTCCAGCCTACAATTCCACAAAGTCTTCCTAAAGTGTGGGAAAAAAAGCCTGAATTACTTTCAACATACCCCTGAATTCCTCTTCATTATCTTCAGACAAGCTTCTCTGCTCTACACTTCACTTATATCAACTGACTTTCCATTTTCTGCATTAAATCTATGATCGGCCAGCTGGTGGCTCACGCCTGTAATCCCAGGCACTTTGGGAGGCTGAGGTAGGAGGATCGCTTGAGCCCAGGAGTTTAAGACCAGCCTGGGCAACATAGCAAGACCCTGTCTCTACTAAAAATACAACAAATTAGTCGGGCGTGGTGGTGCACACCTTTAGTCCCAGTTAAGGATGGGACTGAGGTGGGAGACTGAGGTGGGAGGATCACCTGAGCTTGGGAAGTTGAGGCTGCAGTAAGCAGAGATTACACTGCTGCACTCCAGCCTGGAACACAGGAGGGAGACCCTGTCTCAAAAAACAAACAAACAAACAAAACAAACAAACAAACAAAAAAAACCCCTAAAATTGAATTTTATATTTCTATGTTTTGCACATTTCTCTCTACTTAGATATCCTTCTACTTCCTATTATTTATCTAACTCCCAGTTTATCTTTTACATTCATATCAGAAATCACCTTTTCAGGAAGCTTTCTTGAATTCCCTCGGGTTGTGAAAATGAAAACTCTTCTCTTACCCTCATGCTCACCACATTGCTATTCAAAATGTTTATCTACATGGTAATATCCTTAAATTTCACCCCAAAAAATGTACCAGCAAAGTCCTGAACACAGCAGATGCCCAATAGCTCTTCTATTGTTGTTGCTAAACTAAAATTAACTAAGGCTAACTGGGGCTAAAGTAAGCTCACAAATGACAAAATTGTAATTGAAATTCCAATATTCTGGCTTTAAATTATTTAATATGAAGCATGACCAAGTTTCATGCTCAGAGTATACTATGAATTAGGTAGCAAATTTTATAAAATGCCTACCATGGGTCTGGTTAATATTCTCGATGGGAAAAGCTTACATTCCAAAATCTGCTAAATTCATTCTGATATATATATATTGGATAGGAGAGGACATTATAGATTTGAGAATGATTTTCAAAAACTGAGAAATAACTTTGAGAGGCCAAGATGGGAGGACCATTTGAAGTCAGGAGTTCGAGACAAGCCTTGGCAACATAGTGAAGCCTCATCCCTACTAAAAGTACAAATAAATAAATAAATAAATAAATAGCTATGTGTGGTGGCACATGCCTGTACTCTTGGCTACTCAGAAAGCTGGGGCAGAATTTCTTGGACTTGGGAGGCAGAGGTTGCAGTGAGCCTAGATGGCACCACTGCATTCCAGCCTTGGGAACAGAGGGAGACTCCCTCTCAAAAAAACAAAATGAAACAAACAAACAAACACGCTGAGAAATAAAGCTTAGAGATATAACTGTTCAAAATACACTGCTCAGTAAATGGACATTGTCAATTTCTAGTACCCCCTTGGTTACCCAACTATCCAAGAATGTGGGTTTTTAAAGCTCAAAGCAGTTTGTCCTTTCTAATAATTAGAAAGTTGCTGCCTATTAAATACTAATTCCTTATGCTTTTTTAGGGCTTACTTTTATATTCTACTGCAAAGGCTTTTTTTGTTCCAATAGGATATTAGTTAATGAATGTCATTTTGGGATTAGATTCATTAGCTTAATTATTATTCTTCAAGTTCTTGGATCTGTAACTTAATCACTCTAAGCTATAGGCTTCTATTTTTATTACAGCACAATACAAGTAAATTCCTTAAACTTCAACTAATTTTATGAAGATCATCAGAAGATAAATATGAATAACAATACATTGACTTTACTTTGTATTTTGCAAATAATTTCACCTACTCATTTGATGGCTTTTTAAAAATTTCTAATTTTTCCTGAGTTGTAATTTAGACACTTTTAGAAATTCTATAAATAAAATTAAACTATTGCTACCAATATATGCAAAACTATTTCTAGCAATTAGGTAGATAAACAGAGATAAAGAGATAGTGAATTTATCAAATACATTTGCACAAAGTTGAAATGATATTTGAAAAAAGTAGTCAAAACTTGCCAGCATTAAAAAAAGGCAAAACTATAGCAATGTACCCTTCACAACCTAAAAGTAATCTAGTTTAAAAATGTGAATCTGGGTTAAATTGTGATGGTGCTATTAATGAGAGTGGAATGAATCGTTAAATAAATGTGCTGACTAAGTGTAAGAATGAATGACCCTAGAAAAATTGCTGATAAGACTCTAATACTTGATACAATGTTTGATTAAAAAAACTTAAAATATAAAATAAAAGATGTGTAACATAATCATACAAATATTCAAAGCTGTTATCTTTGTTTCTTCCAGTTCAACCTAAGGGAGAAATCCAGACACATGAAACACTATGTACTAGGATATTTACCACAGTATTACCTATAAATGACAAATAAACAATGCAAAACATCAATATTATATGAATCATTATGATATATCATTCTGCTAACATATTATAAAAACATGAAAATATATTAGTTACTATATGGATTCAAGGGAAGTTAATGTCATATAATCAGGAGTAATAAAAGCAAAGTGTAATACACTGTGATGAAAAAATTCATCTTGGGCAGCTATGGTAAAGACAAGAATGTAATTTATGGTTGGGTGTGGTGGCTCACGCCTATAATCCCAGCACTTTGGAAGGCTGAGGTGGGCGGATCACCAGGTCAAGAGATCAAGACCATCCTGGCCAACATGGTGAAACCCCATCTCTACTGAAAATACAAAAAATTAGCTGGGCGTGGTGGCACGTGCCTGTAGTCCCAGCCACTCGGGAGGCTGAGGCAGGAGGATTGCTTGAGGCAGAGGTTGCAGTGAGCCTAGATAGTGCCACTGCACTCCAGCCTGGTGACAGAGTGAGACTCCATCTGAAAACAAACAAACAAACAAAAAATGTCATTTATGCACACAACAATATTGAAATGTGGATGGCTGATTCATGAGTGACATATCAATCACATAATTTGTGTTTTTGTGTGACAAATTACTTGTAATATTTGTTTGTTTCTATGTGTGTATAGGTTAAAATGAAAAGAAATAATGGTATAAAAGGGAAAGAAGTATAAAATAATTTCTACTTTTATAATTTATGCAAAAAATAATTTCTATCAAATATTAAAAGATAATTTCTGTAATTATGACTATAAAATAGTGTGCCACATACTGGTTTTATTAAAAATAGTTTATTATAAGAAAACTTTCAGGATACTTTTTGAGAATTTAATCTAAAATATGTATATACAAACATATGGTTGGAAATTATTTTAAAATGTAATAATTGTTTATTGTAATAAAATACAATATTTCACTTATAATGTAAGAAATATTCCACTTATAGTTTAAGAATGCGTTGTTAACATCAGAAATAATTATAATAGTAAATGTTTTTGTGGATGATTTATCATGGATATTATGAACATGAATTATTAAACTATGTTATATGCTAGTTCTACATAGTGGTAAAACCTTACTCCAAATGGCCTTCATTCTTATCTCCATAACTCTTGCAATTTCTTTCATAAAAATGGTTTCAAAAAAAATGGCCTTACTGATGGCCACATGCTATTCTCAATTCTGTTCTTACATCTTCTTCCTCTCATGTAATGTCCTTTCTTCAGATGCATTGCTTAGAATCAAAGTCTGTATCTCTTCATCTTAGTATTTAAGGGTACAGGGCTGGATAATAACTAAGTGACAAGTAAATATTAAATAATTAGTGATTACTAAGGCCAGATAATCAAACTTTCTGTAATTATAGCAAAACAGGCTTTTAGCGAGAATCCAAAGGGTACAAGCAAAGTAATTGCACTTTGCCAGAAGTTACAGTTTTAGATATATTTTTGTGCTTTATTTTATCTTATTTCATTTCATTTATTTTAGATCCATACTCATGGGGTCACTTCCCAAAGTTCAAAATAATCTTAGGTTTAACCCTAAGGTAGTTAACTCGTTACTTTTTTTTCTCTTTTTAAATGATCCAATAGAGTCTTCAAAGTTATTCCTAAGACAGCAAAATTCCCTGAAAGAGAAAATACAGTATATCAAGTACTGATGACATTATTCAGTGGAATTAAAGTGACATTTCCTTGGAAGCTATATGTTTCTTCAGTCATATTTTAAATGAATCTTCAAATTTCGCATTTCACATGCTCTGTCCAAAATTTTTACATACAAAATGAAGAATGAATACCACTTTAACAATTACTTCAGCTTCCATTCAAATGAAAGAAAAACTTGTAAAGGAAAAACAAAGAAATCTTACTGTTTTGGAGTTAATTTTTCTCAAACATTAATTACTCCCTAAGGCACTAACTCAACTTTGTGGTGTGTCATGATATTAATTTGGCCAGTAGCCCTGAACAGTGTAACAAATGTCAGCTCCTTTCTTGTATAGAAGGGATAAAATGGATGTCCGTCTCTTCCTCTATAGCTCCGGAAGTTGGACAAGGGAATGTAACTAACTAGTCTAAGGTGTGTTGGATGTGATGGTGCTATTTTAGTGTTTTTGCTGTGTTTTGATTCTGCCTTCTGCCATTTTATTAAAAATAATTGGAACAGAGTCATCCACCAATCTGCAGTTGCATCTTACTTTGATAATGAAACTTACAAATAATACTATAACGTTAATAATTAAGATTAAGCATAATATGTTGGAAATTCTCATCTCATTCCCTCATTTTAAGACTGACTTATTTTGGATTACTCTGGAAGAGAATACAAGGATTAATGAGGGCAAGGGGAGTACAAAGAGAGAAGTACTTTTTCTCTCTCTGAGGAAGAGCTTGTTAAATGTAATTGCTACTGAAGGAATGATTAGCTAAAAAAAAAATAGCAGAACCACAAACAATAACAGAGTCAGCAGACTTCTTTGGTGCTGCTATACAGTTATGCCATGGGCTCTATGAAATTTAACGTCTGAAGAAATCTTTAAATCTGGTAGTACAAATAATCTAAATTGCTTCTTTCTGAATATGTTTTTGGCTATCTAGGTATTTTGTATTTACACATATATATTCTAATCAGCTCAGAACTTAAAAAAAGACAGATGGCATTTGATTAGGGTTGCATTAAGTCTATACATCCACTTTGAGAGAATCAACATCTTAAAAATATTGAGTCTTTCACAATGACATGTCTATTATTTAGGTCTTTCTTAATTTCTCTCAGAATTACTTGTAGTTTTCATGGTATATATATTGCAAATGTTTGTTAAGTTTATTCCTTGGTATTCATTGTTTTGTAATGCTATTGTGAGTGATATTTTAAGTGTAGTTTTCCAATTGTTTGTTACAATCATTATGCAATTGATTTTTATTGTTAAAATTTATATTTTGACCTTGACAAATTTAAGGGATGTTTTTATTTCTAGTATTATATTTTTGAATTTATTTCTAGTTTTCACAAACATAATCATCTCATATGTTAAAAATAGGAGATTTTTGTCTATGGTTTCAAAATATAATCATTTAGTTTCCTATTTTCGCTTATTGAAATGATTAGGTGCTACATTATAGTATTTAGCAGAAGTATTATATAGGTAGGATGGAGGAGGGAAAAACAAAGTGTGAGAGAAAATGAGCGGGAGTAACCAAAACTTTTAAATCATGTTCTAGAAAGAGACATTCTAATAAAACATTGACGGTGAGGAACATAAATCACTAGAAATATTGAGAAGCTTAAATAAGTATATAAGAACACTATACATAATTTAATCTAGAAAAAATGTAAAAGATGTGTTTCAAAGCAAAAATTGTCAATATTGATTTGGCAATAGGCTGAAAATCTAGAGATTGATTAAAAAAACAAAAATTGGAAAGAGTCTTAGAAATTTTTACAAGAAAATTTTTCCAAATCTTCAAGAAAAATAAAATATTCGGGTTAAAAATAAAATATTAGTCCAGAATAGAGAAAAGGAAAGTTTTTCACCTCATTTTACAAGGTTACCAGAATATTTAGACCAAATCTGGCATTCAAAAGGACCAAATGATTATACTTATATTTTTAATTTATATATAACATAAAATAATAAAACAATACAATTTAATAACAATCTCTCCCAAGCCTCTCCCCTAGCTGCTGGTGATTTGCTGTTGTTTGCTCGGTTTATCTCAACAAAATACAGGATATCAAGTGTCTTAAAGAACGTAAATTGGCTGGGCACGGTGGCTCACGCCTGTAATCCCATCACCTTAGGGGGCTGAGGTGGGCGGATCACTTGAGGCGAGGAGTTTGAGACCAGCCTGGCCAACATAGTGAAACCCCATCTTTACTGAAAAATACAAAAATTAGCTGGGTGTGGTGGCGTGTGCCTGTAGTCCTAGCTGCTTGGAAGGCTGAGGCACAAGAATCGCTTGACTATGGGAGGCGGAGGTTGCAGCAATTGGTGATCCTGCCAGTTGCACTGCACCCCAGCTTGGGCAACAGAGCAAGACTCTGTCTCAAAATAAATAAATAAATAAATAAGTAGATAAATAAATAAAAAAATTTATTGTCTGACGGCTCTAGAGGTTGAGATCAAGGTGTTGGAAGAAGATCAATAAATAATAGAAATTTATTGTCTGGCAGCTCTAGAGGTTGAGATCAAGGTGTTGGCAGCGTTGGTTCCTCCTGAAAGCTGCCAGGAAGCATCTCTCCCAGGCCTCTCTGCTGTCTGCTAGTGATTTGCTGGAAAGCATTCACATTCCTTAGCTTGTAAAATCTTCACCACAACCTCTGCCTTTATCTTCACATGGATTTCATGTTTCTTGTGTCCAAATGTCCCCCTTTGAGAAAGACACCAGTCATACTACAAGTAAGGTCCACTCTCCTCCAGTACCACCTCACTTTAAATAATTTGCATCTGCAATTACCCTATTTCCAAGTAAAATCAAATCCTGAAGTGGGTGGTTAGGACGAGACACCACTCAACCCACAACAGATGCAAACTAATTTTCTATCACTTGATTAATTTTGACTTTGTCCACTTATTTATATATATATTATATATGTAGACACAGCAATTTATAAGACTATTGAATATTATATAATATAGTACTTTATAAAATTTCAGACACAAAATATTAATAACAGTATATTCAATAATGCAATAGCTCATGAATAATTATATAATAGTAACTAACCAGCAAATAAATGATGCAAGCCTCACCAAGAAACATTATGATATAATTTCCTTTCAAAAGTGGGTTATAGCATCATCTGTGTATGCCAGGGTATTTAAACCTTGACCTTTTAGAATTGGTAGCTACACTTCTCTTGCCATGACCCTGTATCATCTCAGAAGCATTTTCAAAAATGTATTTATCATAGAAATGTAAAATTAAAATTATTTTCCAACTGTGTCAATTTAACAAATCAAAATGGAATTTAAATAGGTTTTTAAAGAAAGATAAAGGTTCCCAAACATAAAATGGATTCCCGTTGTTCGTATTTGTTCATATCAGCATCAATCTCAGAACACCATGATTATTTCACACTACAGGGAAATCCAGGGCAGGATTAGTATTTTTATTCCTTAGCACATGTCAATAAATTAGTAAACAATTGCTACATGAATAATTAATGAACGAAAGACCTACATTCTGACAGTTCATGTTTTGAAAACTTGTTGTTTCACAATAACATTTAATAATCTTGGCTGGTTTTGAAGAAATTTGGTACACTGCCACCAAAATGAGTCATAGAGGTTAATTTTTAATTTATGGTCTGGCAGCCATGTTGGAGAAACATATTGAATGAATATGTTGACTCATAAACAAATTTACAGTTTACTTTGTTGTGTTCTGACTGGATTCAATAGTGGTCGCTCACTCCTGGAACAGATGATGGCCCTGTGTGTACTCGATAGGTAACAATGCTCTCGTAGCACTTCAGTTATAAGGATTACCCTTTTGTCCCCTATAATGATAACGAGCTAAATGCTTTGATAATGAGATTCTTAGTCAATAGCATTGATCTTAATGTTTATAGTGTTCTTTTTCCCAGAACACATTGCAAGTTATATGAAGGGACGGCTACATCCAACATAAAAAAGCTAATTAGCTCATATTGGTTATCACTGTGGGGATTCGGGGTTGAGAATTTTTTTTCCTGTGACTCTTAGGCCAAGCTATCTATTGCAATGAAGTAGGGAGCTTTCAATAAGTAATAAGTACTGGTGCTTGTACTTTAACATATTAAAATGATTCCCCAATTGTGGTTTCCTGAAAGTCAGCATCAACATCAACTGAAAACTTGCTAGAAATAGAAATTCTCCATAACTGAATCAGAAACTTAAGGGTAAGTCCCCAAAAATCTGCTTACCATGCCATTCCAGTAGTTCTACTAGAGTCTTAGAATCATTTGATAAGACAGATCACTAGGCTTGAGAGGCAACAGAAGTATCTGAACCATCTTAATAGTGAATATATAAGTGTTGTAGTAAATACATATTTTTCTGTAAATCCAAAAATGCCTATATATATATAACTAAAATATATATTTATATTTTCACATACACATATATATTCTTATTATCCAGTGATATACATTGTTAGTATTTTGGTGAATTATATAAATTATTATATTATAGTAAATTGCAGTTTAATTATAATAATATTAGATGGTAACCAGATGTGCTATTAAAAATAAATTGGAAATGAAAACAATTTGGGTAATATTAATATGGTACAATGATTAAAAGTCAGATTCCTGACTTAGGTAATCTATAGGCAAATTCTTAGGAAAAAAAAGAGAAAAAACTGAAAACTGAGTGTCTCAGAGTCTTACTATCTGAACGTTATTATTGAAAAATATGTGACAAATATGAGTCTGCTCTGATATGAAAGGAGCTTGGAAGTCATTCCTCCTTTTTTCTCATAATAAAAAGCTGAAAAATCTGTAAACAAATTAATTTTCTTGGTTCATCAGAAAAGTGAGGTCACCAGGCAAATCATGACCCCCCAAATGGTGGAGCCACAGGAGAATCCAGGGAGTTGCAGCCAAGATCTGCTTACCAGAGGGAGAAGTTCCTTGAAGACACAGTATTAGGGGATGGAGAATCCTCTATACATCCATACTTTCATGGGAGGATATAACAAAGATCTCTTTGTGGACTGGAGGAAACAGTCATTATTAAATATATTCAGAGTCATGTCTATAACAAAGCCTACTCTTCAGAGGAAAGGAATTTGCCAAAATATTATCCAAACTAGGGGAAGAAAACTCCTCCTCACTTACCCCTTTCTAGGCTTTCTTTATCACCTAGGAGTCCTACATTCATATAAATCCCTGTACATAAAGATTCATAACTTTTTAAAGTAGTGTTTCAAAAGTGAATGTCACCAATATGACTTTCAGTAGGTATATATGTAAACAAAATGTCTTACATTTATATGCAATTGATTACTTTTCAGCAATAAAAAGTAGTGAACTATCAAGTCATGCAAAAACATGGACTAATCTAATCTTAAATGCATAGTTTAAGTGAAAGAACCCGATCTGAAGAGGCTACATAATGCATGATTTCATTTATAGGACATAAAGTGGAAAACCATCGATAGTAAAGAGGTTGCCAAGTGTTTGTGGAGAGAGTAGAATAGCTAGAGCACAGGAAACTTTTAAGGGCATTGAAGCTATTCTGTATGATAATGTAGTGGAAGATATATGACACCATGCATTTGTCAAAATCCACAGAAGTGTGCAGAACTTACTATAATATTTAGGCATACTTTGATGTATGAAATTTTGTAAGTCATTTAGGAAGTCTGAGGATGGAGGGATGAGCCCATACTTTAATAAAATAATCTGTTATTATAAACACATGGAATTACTAAAATGGAGAGGAGAAAAGGTCTAATTTTGTAAAAGAGTGGAGTCTGCAAGATTAAAGGTAAAAGGAACTGTATATAAGTATTGTACTCTAGTTAATAAAGTTGATTCCCTGTGTGGGGAGGGCAAGGATTTACAATTTTGAAACCGCTATACAAGTTTACATCAATTGAACAATTAGGTAAGTGAATGTCAAGAGGTGAGATCTTGACAAATCCCAAAGGAGAGACATCCTACAAAATGCCTTATTAATACTCCTCAAAACTATCAAGTTCATCAAAAACAAGGAAAGTCTTACAAGTGGCCACTATCAAAAGGAGTCTAAGGCAGCATGACACCTACATGTAATGTGGTACCTGGAAGGGATAATAAAAAAGAAACATATAAGTGAATACTGAGAAAATCTGGAAAAGCATAGACTTTAGTTACTGATAATGCTTTTTTACAATGCTGATGCTTCCATTACACTTCAGTTCATAGCGAGTAAATTGTGAGTTTTTATCAGTTTCTGAACAAATAGAGACCATAACCATTCATTCATTCATCCATTTACCGTTTAATTAACACATACTGAATACTGCTTATATATGTGAATACCAGCTAGCAGAGAAAGGTAAGTTGACAACATCTACAGCACATCATGTCACTCAGTCACAGATGGATATGAAAAGATTATTGGTGTACAGAAAATGGAAATACATGTTTTAGAACTCTGTTACACTGAGAGATTTGTGGATCTCTGGGTTGCTGTGTCATATGGCTATTGTTAACAAAAATCAGTTTTGAGTTATTGTGGCTATCAAGCTGACAAAGGGAGGCAATGTACTCTTCAAGAGAGAGATGTCCCCAGATTCTGGCAGAAGGCTGGGGTTAAATAAAAAATACTCCCAGAAAATAAGATAATTAGGGGTTTGTGAAAATAAGTTAGAGGATTACTCCCCCACTTTATTGTGGTAAAATTGACAATAAAAATTTATATGTAAGATGTACAACTTGATATATTGTGTGTATATATATATAAAATATTCACAGTAGAGCTAATTAACATACCTATCACCTCACATACTAAGCTTTTTCTCTTTTTGGTAAGAGCACTTAAAGTCTAACTTGTAAGAAAATTTTAATTACACACTACAGTATTGCTAAGTATAGTCACCATGTTACACATTAAATTTCCAGAATTTATTTATCTTGCATGACTTAAACTTTGGACCCCTCAGTTAACATCTCCCCATATCCTCCTCCACCCAGCCCATGGAAACCATCATTCTACTGTCTGTTTCTATGAGTCTGTCATTTTTATATTCTACATGTAAGTGGGATTGCAAAGTATTTGTCTTTCTGTGCCTGTCTTATTTTACATAGCATAATGTCCTCCAGATTCATCTATGTTGTTTCAAATGGCAGGATTTTTTTTTTCTAAGACTGAATGGTAATCCACTGCATATATACATACATCTATATATAGATAGATAGATAATATCTATCTATCCATCTATCTATCTAGCTAGCTAGCTATCTATGCCACATTGTGTTTATCCATTCGTCTTCCAATGGATATTTAGATTATTTTCATATCTTGACTATTGTGAATAGTGCTGCCATGAACATGAGAGTGCAGGTATCTCTGCTATGCCAATTTCATTTGCTTTGGATATATACCTAGAAGTGTGATTACTGGATTATAAAGTAGTTCTATTTTTAAGGTTTTGAGAAACTATACTTAACAATACTGTTTTCCATAATGACTGTAGCAACGTTTACTCCTACTAATGATGTACAAGTGTTTCCTTTCATCCACGTCTTATCTCCATGGCATTTGCTACCTTTCACCCTTTTGATAATATCTATTCTAACAGGTGTGAGGTGATATCTCATTGTTTTAATTTGCATATCTTTGATATGTTATTAAAGAGTACAACAGAAATATGTTGCTTTAATTTAATTAGTTATTAATAAATACGTAAAATACATAAATACAGTGTATATTAAGTTGAAAAGGGACTTTCTTGTCCCCTTTATAGACACGTTTCTACTCTCCTGTATTAAGCACGACTTTGAGTTTCATATGTATGTTTCTACACTTTTTAATTAGTGTTCAAACTTTCATATAATTATACATACATGCACATATATGTATATGTGTATAGATATATGTGCTTGAATCTGATGCATGCATACATACTACATTTTATATAACAATTCTACCCCAACGTCTGAACACCAGCAATATTAACATCACCTGGGAAATTCTTAGAAGTGCAAATTTTTAGATTCTACTTGAGAGTTTTATTCTCCATGTTACAGGTAATTCTTAAGCACACTAAAGTTTGAGAAACATGTATGCATATATATATATATATCATGGAAAAATGAGTAAGTACATGTATTTTGTGTGTATGTATGTAATTTTATACTAGTACAATTTTATGTATTAATTTACCGCTTGTTTAACTTAAAGTAAACCAATATACCTCTCCATAAAAACACACATAGATCTGTTTCTCTAGAGCTGCATGATGTGCAAATAAATGGGCATTATAAATTTATTTCATAGACATATTTTTTCTTTTTCTTATTACTGTTTTATCATTACAAATAGTGTTGGCAATATGCAACTTGGCTTATATTCACCATCACATTTTCATTAAGAAATAGTATAGAATTTTGGGAAATGGTCTCATTTTTGGAGTTATGTAGACTGTGAGAACTCTGGTTTAATTTCTTATATGAGAGTATCACAGAGAAATTTTGAGAATGGAATAGAACATATGTGTAATACTTCAGTGCTGTGCCTGGCACCCAATGTTTCTAATAATATAAATTGAGACATCGTGACATGCAGGGTGCAAAGATATGTTGGGGTAATTTATATCAAAATATGCACCATGTATAAGTATATGGACATAACTGCACACATGATATGGATAACAACTTTCAAAAAGAATCACCTTTGGACTATCACATTTTCCTTCCTCACCACAATTCCATCACAAATAATCAATTACCTGAACTCTCTTTTCAGTAAGATGTCTTTCTAATCGAGATGCCCATCTGCTGTTGGGTCAAGTCTATTGACTTTTTACTGGTCAAATACATCAGAACATGTTTAATGCCCTAGGGGAACAAAAATGAATAAGTGAAAAAAAAATTTCTTTTGTCTTGCAACAGACGGATTTTTGGTCTGTATGTTGGAATGACTTTGCCAAAAAAGATAATGTTCCATTTTGTCCTACCCTACCCAAATACAATTAGCAAAAACACTTCTCATATCTTTGTAAGTAGACTATTACCCACTGGGCATTTAAAAGGTAGTAAACACAGATATTGGAAAAGCTCAGCAGTATAGATAATTTTCACAATTAATCATTAGATGTTCTGCTTTACTCATAGGGCTTCAGGAAGGACTGCGTGAAGTAATTGTTATCAAGCGTTGTATCGTGGGAAATATATTTAATGAAAACACATTCTGATTTTTTAGCAAGTGCCATTTGTAGTAGTTTTATTCCAAAAGATGTCATCCTTGTACATCACGAGTGAGCTACTAATTATCAAAATGTACATCACAATGCTTGTATTCATTTTCTAGGGCTTCTATAACAAACTACCACAGAAGCAGCAGCTCAAACAACATAAATGTATTTTCTCAGACTTCTGGAGGCTAGATGTCCAAGACCAGGTACTCGCTGGTTTGGTTTATCCTTGGCCTCTCTCCTGGGCTGATAGATGGCTGGCTCCCCGCTGTGTTTTATTATGGATGTTCTTCTATGCCTACACGTCACTGATGTCTTTACATAGTTCCAGATTTTCTCTTCTGAGAGGTACACCAGCCATATTAGATTAATGTCCACACTATTGATCTCATTTTCATTTAATCATTTCTCTAAAAGTCCTTTTCCCAAATATAGTCATTTTCTGAGGTGCTGGAGGTTAGGGTTTCAACATGTGAATTTTGTGAAGACACTATCCCATAACAATGATAATTTTAATAATTAAAATGATGGAGATGTTCTAAATATTCAATAAAATCTGAATGACTAAATGCTTATATTATACCTACAGATTAAATGTTATAAAACCATCATATATGAGATAATTTGTTTTATGGTGAGTGCACTTCAATGGCTATGTAATACTACATCATATACAGATGCCAGTTGGAATTTAAATGATATTATTAACATAGAAAAATGCTCCGGCCAACACTTCCTTGAGTGAAAATAAGCAATATGAACACTTCCATCTAAAGAATGTCATAATTATGTAAAGAGAAGTATACAAAGAAGGGTCCTTTACTAGAAATAATAATTATGCAGTATAATTATTTTTATTTCTTTTCAAATTTGTCTATCTTGCAGAATATCTATAATGAGTTTGTATTAATTTTGTAAGGAGGAAATTATGCTAGATCCTTAAAACAATATAATAAAATTCCTTAATTAAAACAGGAATGAGAATTGTTTAAAGAAAATAGATCACTTGTGGAGGTCCTTTAGGGTCAGCTGTGGTCTTAGACACTGCTGTCTGAGAGAAACGGGAAGGAAAAAATTCTGCTTTCAGTC